TCACACTGGGACATGGTCCCACCCAACAGCAAGCTGGCACCAGCCCTAGGACCCCCAGACTATGAAGGCAGCCACATAGGGACCCAGTCACCCAGCAGGTTGGCAGCCACTACAAGAGGCAGGGCCTGGCAGCCAATGTGGCCAGAGGCCAGTCATGCTTACCAGTATGCCCATAGTAGTCAGCCTCATCACAACAGAAGAGCCCATGCAGCTCACATAGGCAGCACCCATACAGCATATAGCTCTGGTGATCAGAGGGGAGTGTGCTACTGGGCCCCATAGGATGTCTCCTACATAAGGCCACTTCTCCAAGATCGGGAAATGTAACTGACCTATCTAATACATAGAAATAAACAGACAATTAAGCAAAATGGGGAGACAAAGGAATATCTTCCAGACAAATGAACAAGACAAAACCCCAGAAGAACTAGGCAAAGTGGAGATAAGTAATCTACCTGATAAAGAGTTCAAGGTAATGATCACAAAGATGCTCAACACACTCAGGAAAATAAAAAATGAACACTGAGAAGTTTTAGCAAAGAGTTAGAAAATATAAAGTAGAACCAAAGAAATAAAATAAAATAACTGAAATAAAAAATACACCAGAAGGAATCAACAGTAGATTAGATGATACAGAGGAACAGATCAGCACACTGGAAGACAGAGTAATGGAAATCACTGAAGCTAAACAGAAAAAAAAAATTTTTAAATGAGGAGAAAAAAAATGATATGTCTATATTGACCTGAAAAGATGCTCAAGATATATGGTTTTCTTGAAAATCAGGAATCAAACAAGTACTACAGAATTGTTCCATTATTAAAAACAACAAAAAACTAGATACATATGTCTGAATATGTATGTATATTAAAAAGCCTATAAGAATAAAAAAAAGAGGAAAGCTTAAGAGGCTTCTGGGACCACTTCAAGCATGCTAACATTTGCAATATAGGGGTCTCAGAGAAGTAGAGAGAGAGAAAGGGGCAGAGAACTTATCTGAAGAAATAATAGCTGAAAACTTCCCTAACCTGGGGAAGGAAGCAGACATCCAGGTCCAGGAGGCACAGAGAGTCCCAAACAAGATGAACTCAAAGACATCCACACCAAGACACATTATAATTAACATGGAAAAATTAAAGATAAAGAGAGAATCTTAAAAGCAGCAAGAGAAAAGGAACTAGTTATGTACAAGGGAACTTCCATAAGACTAGCAGCTAACTTTTCAGCAAAAACTTTGCAGGCCAGAAGGAAGTGGCACTATATATTCAAAGTGATGAAAAGAAAAAACCTACAACCAAGAATACTCTACCTGACAAGGCTATCATTCAGATTTGAAGAAGAGATAAAGAGTTTTACAGTCATGCAAAAGCTAAAAGAGCCTAGCACCAGTAAAGATCAGAGTGGAAACAAATGAAATAGAGACTGAAGAAAAATCAATGAAACTGAGAGCTGGTTCTTTGAACAGATAAACAAAACTGATAAACCTTTAACCACACTCATCAAGAAAAAAAGAGTGGGCCTAAGTAAATGAAATCAGAAATGAAAGAAGAAAAGTTACAACTGATACCATAGAAATATAAAAGATCATAAGAGATTACTACAAAAAATTATTATATGCTAATAAAATGGACAATCTAGAAGAAATGGATAAATTCCTAGAAACATACAATCTCCCAGGACTGAATCAGGAAGAAATAGAAAATATGAACAGACTGATTACCAGTAATGAAATTGAATCAGTAGTAAAAAAAAAAAAACCTCCAAACAAACAAAAGTCTAGGACCAGATGGCTTCATAGGTGAATTCTACTAAACACCTGAAGAAGAGTTAGCACCTACCTTCTCAAATTATTCCAAAAAATCACAGAAGAAGGAACAATTCTGAATGCATTCTGTAAGGCCAGCATCACCCTAATACCAAAACCAGGCACCACAAAAAAAGAAAGTTACAAGCCAATATCACTGATAAACATAGATGCAAAAATCTTCAACAAAATACTAGCAAACAGAATCCAACAACACATTAAAAGGATCATACACCATGGTTAAGTGGGACTCATCCTAGGGATGCAAGAATGGTTCAATACCCGCAAATCAATCAATGTGATACACCACATTAACAAACTGAAGAATAAAAATTGTATGATTATCTCAATAGATGCAAAAGAGCTTTTGATAAAATTCAACATCCATTTATGATAAAAACTCTTAACAAAATGTGTATAGAAGGAACATGCCTCAACAAAATAAATGCCATATATGACAAATCTACAGCCAGCATCATACTCACTGGTGAAAGCCTTAAAGTATTTTCTCTAAGATTGGGAACAAGATGAGGATGCCCACTCTCGTCACTTTTATTCAACATAGTATTGGAATTGTTAGCCACAGCAGACAAGAGAAATAAATAAAAGGTATCCAAATTGGAAAGAAAGAAGTAAAGCTGTCACTGTTTGTAGATGACATAATAATATATAGAGAAAACTCTAAAGACACCACCAAAAAAATATTAGAACTAATAAATTAATTGAGTAAAGTTTCAGGGTATGAAATTAATATACAGAAATCTGTTGTGTTTCCATACACTAAAAATGAACTATCAGAGAGAGAAATGAAGAAACAATCCCATTTACAATGGAATCAAAAAGAATAAAACACCTAGGAATAAATCTAAACAAAGAGGTATAAAAACCTATACTCAGAAAACTATAAGACATTGATGAAAGAAATTCAAGAGGACACAATACATGGGAAGATATACCGTGCTTATGGATTGGAAGAATTATTATTGCTAAAAAGACCATACTACCCAAGGCAATCTACAGATTCAATGCAATCCCTACACCAAAATACTAACGGCATTTTTTGCAGAACTAGAACAAGTAATTCTAAAATATGTATGGAAACACAAAAGACCCTGGACAACCAAAACAGTCTTGAGAAACAAGAACAAAGCTAGAGCTCCCAGGTTTCAAACTACACTATAAAGCTACAGTAATCAAAAAAGTATGATACTGGCATGAAAACAGACACATAGGTGAATGGAGCAGAATAGAGAGCCCAGAAATAAACCCAAACTTAGATGGTCAATTAATCTATGACAGAGGAGGCAAGATCATACAATGGGGAAAAGATAGCCTTTCTAATAAATGGTGTTGGGAAAACCAGACAGCTACAGGGAAAAGAATCAAATTGGACTATTCTCTTACACTATAAATAAAAATAAACTCGAAATGAATTAAAGACTTCAATGTAAGACCTGAGACCGTAAAATTCCTAGTAGAAAACAGGCAGTATGCTCTTTGACATCAGTCTTAGCAATATTTTTTTGATATGTCTCCTCAGGCAAGGGAAACAAAAGCAAAAATAAACTAATAGGACTATATCAAATAAGAAGCTTTTGCACAGTGAAGGGAACTATCAACAAAACGAAAAGACAGCCTACTGAATGGGAAAAGATATTTGCAAATGATATATCCAATAAAGGGTTAATATCCAAAATATACAAAGAACTCATATAACTCAACATCAAACAAACAACTCAATTAAAAAATGGGCAGAGGACCTGAATAGACATTTTTCAAAAAAATATGACATACAGATGGCCAACAGACACATGAAATGATGCACAATATCACTAAATCATCAGAGAAATGCAAATCAAAACCAAAATGAGATATCACCTTACACTTTTCAGAATGGCTATTATAAAAAAGACAACAATTAAGTGTTGGTGAGAATGTGGAGAAAGGGGAATCCTTGTGTACTGTTGGAGGGAGTGTAAATTGGTGCAGCCATTATGTAAAACAGTATGGCAGTTCCTCAAAAAATTAAAAATAGAACTATCATAGGAGCTAGCAATTCCACTTCTGGGTACAGCTGACCCTTGAACAACATGAGTTTGAACTGCACATGTCCATTTATATTCAGATTTTTTTCAATAAATACATACTATAGTACTACAAGATCTGTGGCTCATTGAGTCTGCTGATGCCAAAACGTGGATACAAAGGCCAGCTGTAAAGTTATACACAGATTTTTGTCTTTCCAGGATTGTCACTCCTAACCCCTGAGTTGTTCAAGGGTCAACTGTATTTTTCCAAAGTAAACAAAAACACTAATTTGAAAAGATATATGCATCCCTATGTCCATTGCATCATTATTTACAATAACCAAGATATGGAAGCAACCAAGTATCCATTGATAGATGAATGGATAAAGAAAATGTGACATATATATATATATATATATATATATATAAAATGGAATATTATATATATGTACATACATAATAGAATATTACTCAGCCATAAAATAGAATGAATCTTGCCATCTGTAACAACATGGACAGATCCTGAGGGTATTATGCAAAGTGCAATAAGTCAGAGAAAGACAAATACCTTATGATTTCACTTACACGTGGAATCTAAAAAACAAAACAAATGAATAAACATAACAAAACAGAAAGAGACTCGTAGATACAGAGAAGAGACTGGTGGTGTCAGAGGGGAGATGGAGGGGGGCAATGAGTGAAATAGGTGAGAGAGATTAAAAGGTACAAACTTTCAGTTATAAAATAAGTCAAAGGGGTGTAATGTACAGAATGGGGAATATAGTCAATAATATTTTAATAACTTTGTATGGTGACGGATGGTAACGTATTATGGTGATCATGTTGTAATGTATAAAAATACCAAATCACTCTGTTGTACACTTGAAACTAATATAATATTGTAAGTCAATTATACTTCAATTTTAAAAAAAAGAAAAAAAGTTGAACTCAGAAACAGAAAGTAGTAAGGGGCTGGAAGGTGGGGGAAATGGGGAGATGCTGGTCAAAGGGTACAAGCCTTCAGTCAGAAGATGAATAACGTATAGCATATGTCCTCCATAGGAGCCAGCACCAGGCTGAGCTAATAATGGTTATCATAAGAAGAGTAATAATAACAATAATAACAATAACAGCTCCTAACAAGAATCTACTATCCTTGTCCTGGTCTTACCTCAGCAGGGAGCCCTTCAAATTGGGGAGCCTTGCAGTGGGAGTCAGGATCGTTCCACTTCTCAGAAAACTCTGCACACTTGTGAGGATGATTCTCATCCATGTTCTTTTCTGTTTGATCCCGGACAAGTCCACTGAGACAGACAAAAATACAATATGTGGCAAAGAATTACACAAGGTCAGGAACTGGGGCATGAAAATGGGAGTTTGAGGACCTTACCCAAGGCCATGAATCCCTAAGCCAATGAAGTACATGATAAAAATATGGTGTGTATACCAGAAGACCTCAGAATAACTCTTGTGGATAAATTCCATAGCTAAAGTCACCATGAGAACTAGAGCTATTGTGATGATCACTCCAGTGACACCAGCAATGTGGGTGAATGTCACATACTCCATTGTCTATGAAAGTAGAAATTTCAGCCTGACACAATGTCCAACAGGGACACCATGCCTTTCCTGCTCATGACCAGATTCCAGATGCTTTGCCCTTGAGTCAACTCACCGTGTTTGAGGACTGGATGGGATTTAGCCAAGAATCTTTCTCCTGATGAGATAGGTTGGAGAGAATGGAAGCAAGGGATCCATCTGTGGCCTGTCGGCTTCTGCTATATCGTTCAAAGTTAAACAGGTGTGTGGTGATGTGAATAGCTAAATGAAAAGATGGAAAGGAATGTGAGAGTTGTCTCAGAAACATCATGGCAGGCATGCCCCACTAGAAGAGGAGGATCCTATATATAGTGCCAAGCAGAATGGTGAGTCCACAGAAGGTGCCCAATAATGATTACAGAGAGAATCAAGATCTTTTTTATACTCACTCTGTCCCCAAAGGAATAGAATGTAAATTCCATGAAAGCAGGTTTAGAAGAGTGCCTGGCAAATAATGCCACGTGTTCAATAAATATATTTTGAATGTTTATATGCGTGGATGAATGAAACTAGATTGTGAATGTCCAGGAGCCTGCAGTTTCATCGTTTGCCCCAGTTACCCAGTAGGCAGATTATATATGCCACCAGCTTGTGGAAGGTGAGGTTGTGATCCAGTTGCTTTCCCAGGGTGCGCCTACAAAACAACAAATGTAAAATGATCAAGATAGGGTGTATCCAGGCAGCTTTATGAAATTCGCTAACCCATAACCAACACGTCTTACATAGAGTGTGCCAATACACACCCACTCTTGCTCACCCCCTTGGTTACCAAAGGAGACCTCTGGCTTCCATTCCTAGGGGCTTGGTGTTGAGCTGTCCTACTGAGATGTCAAGAGTCTCTTGTCTTTAATGTGAAAGTTGACCTACAGTTGGCTGGGACTCAGTGAGCAGGTGCCTCTCAGGAAGGACAGCACATTTTGACACACGGGAAGCAGGATCAGCATGCTGTTAAAATGCAAGCTGCAAGCAGAGGCTTGGGCCCAGGCCAATGCCAACTAGAACAGAGGAGAGAAGAAACCAATATCTGCTTCATCTCCTCATCTTGCAGGTGAGCATGGGCCCAGTCCACTTGCCTGAGACCTGGACAATCAGTCCAAAATCTCTGTTTACAAATGACAGAAAATTTGCTGAACTTAACATTGAATTGAGAAATCCTCATGACAGTGGTTTGGACATGTTTGACTATATATTTATCAATATGAAAGAGAACAAGATTTAATGTTAACAACTAAATTATGTGAATATAATACTTTACAAGGTTTTTAGCTTAATACACTCAATTATGATTTTAGTTTGTCACTTGTAAAACAATCTTGAAGATCATATATATTTTATTTGCACTTTAAATAAAGCTTAGATATTTTGAGTTATAATTACAGATGGTAACTATTTTTCCTCTTTTCTATATTTTCTAATGTTGCAATTATATGCATGTAATAATCATGTAATAAAAACAATAAAAAATTAACCATTTATATTTAAGATCTCTTTAATAATTGAATAAAACGGGCAAAACGAATGAACCCCTCAGAGCAAAAATTTTAAACTTAGGTAGAGATTTGAGAAGGGAGAACTTCTAAGAACAAAATTTCAAACTGATTTCCTTGGGTGGCCAGGCAGCATACATCAAGATCAATCTGATCCAACAGTAGAAGCTGCTAGAAAAGGAGACAAGGAATCAGTGCTTCAAAGAAGTATTGAGCCCAGAAATAGGCTTGATTAGTATAGGCTAGACAGAATATATTCAACTCTGTCTGTGGTAGCTAACTCCGACTTCTCTCCTCAGCTGTACAACTGGTCTCTGAGTCAGCTCCTTGGGATTGCAGGCAGTGGAGCGTGACAATTTCACAGCAGCAGTGAAGGTGGTGGCAGCAGCCAGGAAATTTTTGTTCACTTCAGCTGACTGGTCAGCCTTACATGTACGCCTGTCAATGACTTGCTAAAAGAATATGAGATAGAGTTAACAATTTCTCGGCCTTTTTCTAATTATCTTTTCGGCACAAAAACTATTCTTCCATACAACCTAAACCCGGGACAACGTGACACTGGTTTAATAAGCCAGGTCAAGATCTGCCTACCATCCATAATGGCTTACAATGCCAGGCAGTGCAATGAACATGAGCTGCCCTACTGTTTTCCATTTCTGACTCTTCCACATGACCTGTGTTTTCTCCCTCTGCTGAGTCACACTCCAACTGTTTTTGGTAGAGACGGCCTGTTCTATTTCTGAGTAAATTTTCTCTGCTCATCTCAAATATCCTGCATTTCCACATTGGTTCCCACTGCTTGCTTATTTGGGTCACAGAGGTTCCTTAAAGCTAAAATTGACAAGTGAATTGAAGAACATAGGACTACAATTTCACAGCTACATATTCTGTGGAGGCTATCTGTATGGGATGAATTCTTTTTTTTTTTAACACATCTTTATTAGAGTATAATTGCTTTACAATATTGTGTTAGTTTCTGCTTTATAACAAAGTGAATCAGCTATACATATACATATATCCCCATATCCCCTCCCTCTTGCGTCTCCCTCCCACCCTCCCTATCCCACCCCTCTAGGTGGCCACAAAGCACCCAGCTGATCTCCCTGTGCTATGGGGCTGCTTCCCACTAGCTATCTATTTTACGTTTGGTAGTGTATATATGTCCATGCCACTCTCTCACTTTGTCCCAGCTTACCCTTCCCCCTCCCCATGTCCTCAAGTCAATTCTCTACAGCTGCGTCTTTATTCTTGTCCTGCCCCTAGGTTCTTCAGAACCATTCTTTTTAGATTCCATATATATGTGTTAGCATATGGTATTTGTCTTTCTTTTTCTGACTTACTTCACTTAGTATGATAATCTGTAGGTCCATCCACGTTGCTGCAAATGGCATTATTTCATTCTTTTTTATGGCTGGGTAATATTCCATTGTATATGTGCCACATCTTCTTTATCCATTCATCTGTCGATGGACACCTAGGTTGCTTCCATGTCCTGGCTACTGTAAATAGAGCTGCAATGAACATTGTGGTACATGAGTCTTTTTGAATTATGGTTTTCTCAGGGTATATGCCCAGTAGTGGGATTGCTGGGTCGTATGGTAGCTCTATTTTTAGTTTTTAAGGAACCTCCATACACCAACGTGCCATACCCACCCCCACCCTTCCTCTTCTGTCCTTGATCTGCTCCTTCCCCAGCCTTCTCCAACCTGTTACTCTGACCTGACCCCACCTTTTATACAGGCCTTGAATTTGGCAACACCACCCACTTCACAAAACCCCCCACCCCAAGTATCCCTCTTGTTTGAGAGGTATTTTTCTGTGAGATCAGTCCACAGTGGTGGTTTTCAACTTGTTCATTTATTTGTTTTCAACCAAACTCTTTCTTAAAATCATAAGCAGGAATCCATAAGACAGATGAAGGCTGCTTTGGTTGAAGTAGAGACACTGCCCAGTTAGCCTTCCCCTCACACCCTGTAGGGATACCTGAATTTCTGTGGAAACCAGTTTGAAAATTGCTCAATATTTCTTTACTGTGTATTTTCATTATTGATTCTGGGGAGTGTGCCCTGGATAGGTCTGTCAGATTTAATGAACAAAAATACAGATGCCTAGCTAAATTTGAACTTCAGATTTTTAAAAAGTGAATAATTTTCTAATATGCCCCTGTCTCATGCAATATGTAGAATAACTTATACCCCCCAAAAAAATATTTGTTACTTTTCTGGAATTCAAATTTACCTGGGCATCCTGTATTTTTTTTCTGGCAACTCTAACTCTAGGCGAAATGAGGGCATTGGGTCTCAAAGAAGCCAGCGTCAGAGATAAGAAAAAACAGAGATTCCCCACATCACAACTGTGATACTCACCCCCAGGATTTGTCTTGTGTAGTAGTACTTGTTACCTTCTCAAATGACAGGAAGGCATGCACAAACAGGAAAACATTCAGCCCCAACCAAGCAGCCTAGAGGAAGAAAAATTAAGCAAGGGATAAAGTGAAATTTGGGTACAGGAAAGAGTAGATAAGGGGTAGAAAATAGTGTTACCATTTGGCTATTTTGTGTTTATCTGTTTTCATTTTGGGAGTGGTGGGTGTGCCACACAACATGTGGGATCTTAGTTCCCCGACCAGGGATAGAACCCCTGTCCCCTGCAGTGGAAGTGCAGAGTCCTAACCACTGGACCGCCAGGGAATTCCCATATCTGTTTTCATTTTAAATGAGTCAACTTACTCTGAGTCAGTTAGGACTTCAAGACATGCATCAGATGCTAATGACCAGGGTCAGCACATCAAGGCTCATAGACCAAATCTATCTCACCACCCGTTTTGTACAGCCTACAAGCTAAGAATGGTTTTTATATTTTGTTGTTTTCACATTTTTAAATGGTTGGAAAAAATCAAAAGAAGAATATATTTCATGACGTGAAAATTATATGAAATTTCAGTATCTATAAATACAGTGGTATTGGAACTTAGCCACACCTACTTATTTCTGTATTGTTTATAACTGCTTTTGTGATTCAATGGAAGTGTTGAGTAGTTGTGACAGAGAACATATGGACTGCAAAGCCTAAAATATGTACTACCTAGCTCTTTACAGAAAACATTTGCCAACTTCTGGATTGGAGCGTTCCAACTATTGCACCTATAAGAAGGCAATACGTGAATAAATGGATTTCTAAAGAAATAGAAAATAAATTTAACATCTGTGACAATACCCATCTGAAGGGACTAAACCATTCCAGATGGGCCTGCCTCTTTAATACACTTTCCTGACATGCACTTTCCTGTTTCTGGATTGTGATTCTTTTTTCAAATTAACCTATCATTGCTTTGGACTCATTTGAGCTCTTAAGACTTCTTTGGTCTGTCCCAAGATCTGTCTCTACATTGGCAAAGAGGGAAATTTGGAACCTACCGTCCCTCTCCTTGGAGAACAACCAGGTGGGCTTTAGCCCAAGCTTGAAGGTGCTAGTCTGTAATTGATCAGGACTCTAGGGCACTGGGATGCCTCTGATATATATCCATGGCCCCAGGATGGTCCAGAACCATCTCAGCCCCACAGGTAGAGGGCCTTTAGCCTAGAACATGGCCTATTCAGATTCCCTAGATCTGGACCACTCACACACCTCTGGCATCATAACATAGTGATTCGAAGTGTGATATTGGAGTCAAACTCCTTGGGCTCAAATTCTAGCTCCACCACTTTCTAGCTCTGTAATCTTAGATCTGTGATTTAACTTTTCTGAACCTCAATTTCTTCACCTATAAAATGCGGACAATAACTATATCTACCCCACAGCAATGCTGTGAGGCTTACATGTGAAGTGATTAATACAGTGCTTGGTGCATAGTAGAAGCTCAATAAATTCTGCCTGTGTCATCACCAGACTGGCTTACCAATCAATTTCTTCCTGCATTCTTTGCCCACACACCCTTTCCAGAGTTGTGTGTCTTCCAGAGATCATTTGACCTTAATGGAAAAAGAGAGGTGAAAGCCACAGATACTTCAAGAGTTCAGAAGACAAAGGAGAGAAGCTTATTTAGAGGGAGCAGAAATATTTCAGAATCTGAGAGGGACACAGAGGCAAAGACCTCTGTGACAGCCCATCATCAATTGTAGGTAAGATGAATGATGAAATACAGTGACATCTGAGAGTAAGGAATTCCATTCCCCACCTTGACAATAATTTCCTCCACTATGAATGGAAAAGAAAGAGTAGAAGACCTGGCAGGAAGAGTAAAAATATTTTGGGGGTAATTTATTTTTCATTAAAATAATAGTTCAAAGGAGTGTATGTCAGAGATAACAAGAAGTCTGAGCCTGCCAGTGGGATTGGTGCAAGGTGAAAAATCAAAGCTAGTTACATCATCATCACCACCAGGGGTGATGAACTCTCCAAGCAAAACCTAAGAGAGGGATAAAAAATGCAGAGGATTTTAGACTTAGAAACACACTTATATCTAATCTAGTTTTCATCAATCCCCCCCACACACACAGGTGACCTGAAGGCTAGAGAGGACAAATAATTTGATCAAGGTCACTCAATTAATAGCAGAACTGAAACTAGAGTTCAGTTAGAGAGTGCATTAGAAGGGGATTGTGCATATGTGGTGTGGTAAAGGCATTCTGGCTTGAACCCTGGGGAGCTAGCTTTGAGTGATGGCTCTGCAATCAATTCACTGTGTGACGTCTAGGTCTTATTTTCCCTTATAAAGTCAAAGAGTTGGTTTGGTTCTGCACTACACAAAGCTGTAGCCACTAAGCACATGCGGCTACTAAGCACATGAAATATGCCTAGTTTTAATTGAGATGTGCTGTAAGTATTAAATACACATCGGATTTCAAAGACTTAGTAAAAATAAAAGAATATAAATTATCTCATTAATATTTTCATATTGATTACAGGTTGAAAGGATAACTTTTGATATATTGGGTTAAACAAGATATATTACTGGAAATTAATTTCACCTATTTCTTACCTTTTTCAATTGTCTAGGTATTAGACAATTTTTAAATTACATATGTGACGTTACATTATATTTCTAGTGGACAGCACTGGACCATAATCTCTAAGATCACTTATATCTCAAACATTCAATTTTATTATTTCTTAATGTGAGCAATATAAGAAGAATGGAGAGAAATGAATGCTCCATGGCACTAGTTAGAGGTGAAATGGAAGAGAAAAAGAGAAGACAAAAAATGAAAACAGATTGAAATTCCATATACTTGTGGTTTATATTTTTGTCTCTTTACCAATCAATTTCTGGAGTTGGACTTTTTTCCTTTTCTAAAATGCTGAAATATATCATACACAGAAAAGTATATAAAACATATATGTAATCCTAGAGTTGGACCTTTCAGCTGATAACTGGCCTTGATGAGCTCAATATTGGCATGGAATCTTTCCCTTTCAAGTAACTTCACAAATATTAAAAAACATAATGTCTCCTTACTCTAAGAGTAATTATTAGAAAGTGAAACATCACTTACCAGAAACAAAACTGAGAACCAATGGTTAACCACCCAGTTTCCCATTGTCAAGTGGTGGTTTGGAGCCTCTGTAGGCAGCAGCGAAGATTCAGCAACTTGGATTCTGGAGAGATTCTTCAGGATTGGCACCTCTGTCCAGCTCAGGGACTGTGAATCTTTAATATGTGAAAGATGCACACCTACCCACAAAGCTTTCAGGAATGAATACATGCACTCTGCCTTCCTCCTCTGGTCAGAACTATGTTATCAGCTTTGGTAGACCAGCCCTACCTATAAGTACCACAGGTGTTTTCCCTGGTGGGGTTTTATCCCTTCAGGAAATAACAATCTTCTTGGGTGAGAATGTTCTCTCCCATCAACTTATCAACATGATTTAATGTGGGGCATTGTCTTCCTTGATAAGACATTCGCTAAGGTTTCTCATAAGGAAGATTTTAGGCTGAGGCTATAAACAGATGATCTCAGGAAAAGCAGGGCAGAACGCACGCATGTTAAGGAAGCTGCTTTAAGGTGGGCTTTCAGAAGAGCTGCTGCAGCTGCCTGCTGCAATTTGGACCTCAGCCTGGCTAGCTCAGAAACTTTGTTTACCAGTTCTCCTGGAAGATGATCTGGCTCTGGGGAGCGCTTGACTGGTTGGAAGGACAAGTGAAAAGAATGGCCACATAAAATAAAAGAAAATTTAGCAGGTACAAATGAACACCTCGGTTCAAAAAAAACAGAGGCAAAGTATTCCAAACGAGAGAGGTGATTGTATTCTAGTATGATGGATTAGCTAGAGTTGTGTGTTCAGTTCTGAGCACTGATATTTTTCCTTTTCTAAAATGGTGAAATATACACAGAAGAATATATAAAACATATATATGTAATTTAAAAAATAATTTTAAGGAATGAATAACTATGTACTCAGTAGCCAGGTTTAAAAAATTGAATATTTACTTCCAGTATCTTAAAGTCCTCTCTGTGTCCCTCTGTGATCACGATTTCCCTTCTTCCCCAGTCTCTCCCCCATCAGATGTAACTACTATCCTGAAATTTGGAGTAATCATTGCCCTGTTTTTCTCTACAGTTTTACTAACTAAATGCATTCCTAAACAACATATTGTTTAGTTTTTCCTGTTGTTGAACCTCTAAGTAAATGGAATCTAACTGTTTGTATGTATATATGCTTCTGTGATTTGCTTCTTTCACTCAACATTGTGTCTCTGAGATTCATACATGTTGGCACATGTAGTTCCCACAGTTTGCGGGATCTCAGTTCCCAGAGCAGGGATTGAACCCGGGCCATGGCATTGAAAGCCTGGAATCCTAACCACTAGGCCACCAGGGAACTCCCAGTTGAGCATCTTTTAATTCAACTGTTGGCCATTTGAGTGAGTTTTCTTCTTTGAGAGGTGCCTAGTCTAGTTTCTGGCCTTCCTTCCTTCCTTTCTTTCTGGTGTGATTTCCCAAGTCTTTATTGTGTGGTTACAGAGGATGTGGAGATTGGTTTCAGGAGTTTTGACATGGTGGGAAAGACGTCTGCATCCTTGTTTGGCCACCTTACACCAAAAGACTAAGTTTTGGAAATCAAAATTTCAACCTGGCTTCAGCCCCTCTTGGAAAGGTGATAGTATGAACTTGTTTCTTTCATTTTTTCTTCTCTTTCTTTTTCTTGATGTTTCATCTTTTGTCCCATCTCATTATGGTTCCTTCTCTATATCTTTAATTGTAGAAGATCTTTTCTGCTAGTCTTTTGTTCTTCTAATCAATAATTTCTCTGTAAATAATTGTAATTTTGGTGTGTCCATGGGAGGAGGCAATATATGTATAACTGATTCACTTTGTAATAAAGCAGAAACTAACACACCATTGTAAAGCAATTATACTCCAATAAAGACGTTAAAAAAATGAGCATGAGAATAGGCTGCCCTATAAAGTATTTTGTGCTGTGGGTTGAAAGCTTAAATAAGTAGTTTTACCTAACTAGTTTCAATTCTACCTAAATGAGGAAATTATAGAAAAATTATTGGGTGAAATATTGGTCAAATAGTATCAGGATCCTTTTACCTTCTGTACACACCAAATAATGTACTGTCATCAACAGGGAAACCTTCACTCAGATCTCTGTTGCTTGTCTTGCTATGGAATTGCAACTCTTTGTACATAAATATGAAATGGATGGAAATATGACAGATTCATGGTTCCACTTCTAAAATAAGAAAATGTTGCCTTTAATGAGACCAAGGCAGATGAGAGGTAGAGGAGAAAGTATAAGTAAGTCAGGCAGGCAGTCTCCTATGTTGTATAATTTTTTGAGAAATTCAAAATGACATTCCTCTTCCCCACCCCACTAAAAAACAGCCTTTTCATTAGTCTGTCATAGGGTAGGAAATTCTTACCATTGGAATTAAAAAGCTATGCTCCCAGAGGCTATAATTAAATTCCATTGTTATCTTGTACTGATGGAGGGGTGGGGGTGGGGGATGAGGCCTCTGCTCTAAGGAGAGAGAGGGAAGTGACAAAACAACCCACTATGACCTGTAACTCATATTTTCACAGAAGGCAGGATCCAGAGAGAAGGGGACCTATAACAGATTCCTGGGGCATCTGGCAATAAGGAGTAGTTAGAATGGGGTACTGTAGCAGAGGACTTTGGAAAACAGGGGTGCATTGGGTGTTTGGAGGTGGACTGAAGCCAAAGTGAATGCCAGAAGACCCACTTGATCCGCCTATAATGCCCTCTCCATACCTACTGAATCAGAATTTTCATTTAACAGGATCACCAGGTGATTCATGTGCACATTAAATTTGAGAAGTGTTGCTCTTACAGAGTCTGCAACTCACAAGGGCTCAAACACTTAAGCAGGTTGGGAGAAAGATTAAATGGAAAAAAAGTTGGGAATTGATCTCACAAAATGGTTTAATTAGATTCCTTTATTTAACAAAGATTTGTCCTTTAAGAAATGGTTTAGAAACTAAACTTCCTTCCTTCCCCCCTTGCTTGAATCTTCCCGGATCGCAAACCACACACAATCCTCCTTTTTTTTTATTACAGGAAAAGCCTCAGTTTAGGTGAAATAAACATCAAGATTCCGGGTTGGAGCCCTTCTTTTGATTGTTAAGGAAATATGAAAACAAACAAAAATCATAAAACGCCTAGAGACTTTGTTTAGCTACCACTTTATCTTAGCACCTGAGAGCTGGGAGGTAGGTGGCAGGTTAGATCTCAAAGCGGACTGCTCTTAAAAAAAAAAAAAGAACAAAATATAGTCATTGCTCCAACTTAAGGCTCTTACATTTAGAAATCTCAATTGGAACTCAGCTTAGGTCCTTGGCCTTTTCTGAGCAAGCTGATTCAATGAAAAGGGATCCCCTATTTTTCCTAATAGGTAGTCCAGCTAGGCCCGTTAATGTGCGCCTACCAGAAGGGAAAAAAACTAGCCAGGCTGGAGACAGAGCAGGTGGCAGACAAGCTTTGAGGAAAGATTGAAAATGTGCCTCTGCCTTGGAACTGACCTCTCTTCACTCTGATTTTTTGCTACCCTCAGGTGGCTTCCTGGTAGTATAAAGAGAGGAAAAACAGGTAACTTTGGGGGAGACGAGGAATATTATTTTACTGTTTTATAATTGGATTATAAATTAGTTCATTTCCAAGGGGGAAAATGAATATCTTGAGGAGTTTGGGGTAAGTTCCATTTTCTCAGGGAAAACTTGATTCTACTGGGCTTTCCAGAGACTAAATCAGGGAATCAACAAAGTAAGCATTTGCTCATTCAATGTTCACTCAACAAACATTTATTAAATACTTACTCTCTAACAGGCACTGTGTTAGGAGCTGATGATACGGCAGTAAATAAGATATACAAGCTCCCTGTCCTTATGGAACTTATATTTTGGTGGGAGAGACAGATTAAAAACAAATAAAAAGAAATGTACTTCAGGTAATGAGGAGTGCTATGAAGAAAATTGAAACAGGGAAGGGAATAGACCATGATGTGTGTGGTGGAGGGGCTATTTTAGATAGGATGATCAGGGAAGACTTCTTTGAGTAGTTGACATATGACACTTGTATTCTGAGAAGGGAACAGTCATGCTTCTTTGGCGTTCTAGAGGGAGAACTAATACATATAAAGGACCTGAGGTGGAAATGAGCTTGGTGTGCTAGAGGAACAGCAAGAAGCCCAGTGTTATGGGTTGAATTGTGTCTCCTCTAAAATTCATATGCAGGGGAATTCCCTGGCGGTCCAGTGGTTAGGACTCAGCACTTTCACTGCCGAGGGCCCAGGTTCAATCCCTGGTCAGGGAACTAAGATCCCACAAGCCCTGTGGCGTGGCCAAAAAAAAAAATTGTATGCAGAACCCCCAGTACCCTAGAAAGCAACCTTATTTGGATGTAATTCATTAAGATGAAGTCATACTGGAGTAGGGTGGGCTTTTAATATGACTAGTGTCATTATAAAGGGAGGAAATTTGAACACATACATGCACACAGGGAGAACACCATGTGAAGATGAAAGCAGAGATCAGGGTGATGGTTCTATAAGCCAAGGAATACCCAAGATTGCTAGCAAACCATCAGAAGCTAGCGGACAGGCATGGAACAGATTCTTCACAGCTCTGAGAAGGAAAAGTCCCTGTCAACATCTTGAACTGGGACTTCTAGCCTCCGGAAGTGTGAGACAACAAACTTCTTTCTGTTGAAGCCACTCAGTGTGTGGTAATTTGTTATGGCAGCCCTAACAAATGAATACAGCCAGTGTTTCTAGAGACAAGTGAGAGGATGGGGTAAGAAATGAGTTCAGAGAGGTAGGTAAAAGTCAGATTATCTAGGGTCTTGCAGGCCTTTGCAAATGTGATGCAAATAGACCTAAACCCATTGTTTTTGGTAGATTTAGGGAGCCTCTAAAGATTAGAGGTAAGTGAGGGCTATAGGTCGCCTCTCCCACAACCTCCTTACTAGGTAGAACATTACAGTGAAGGTAACTGTCAGACTAAATTCTGACACATGCAGTTATTAGCAATCAGGGGTCAAAACAGTCACATAGCCTCTTCTTGTAAATTGGGTGAAGTATCAATACATACTCTCTGTCTGACCTTTAGGAACTCCAGCAAGCTGCTTGCATGAAAGATTTACCTGAAACAGATGGCCTAATAATATGGTAACGGGATCAACCTATCTTCTGGGTGGAGCAGGAAAATCTTCCATTAAGTGATATATATTAGTTATCTATTGCTGTGCTACAAATTAACCCCAAAATTAGTGCCTTAACAACAAACATTGATTATATCATATAGTTTCTGTGTGTCAGGAATCCAGGATCAGCTTTGTTGGCTGCTTCTGGCTGGGAGTCTCTCGTGAGGTTGCAGTCAAGATGTTGGCTAGGGTTGCAGTCATCTAAAGGCTTGAATGGGCCCGGGGATCTTCTTCCAAGGTGGTTCACTCATATGCCTAGCAAGCTAGTGTTAGTTGTTGGCAGATCTCAGTTCCTCAACACATGGCCCTCCATTTCTCATAACGTGCAAGCTCAGAGCAATGATCCAAGACAGAGCAAGACAGAAGCTGTAATGTCTTTTCTGACCCAGCCTTGGGAGTCACATTAGGTCATTTCCATAATATTCTACCAGTTACGTTACAGTGGTTACATTCTTCCCTATTCAGTGTGGGAAGGGAGTAACTACACAAGGAAAGAATCACTGGGGACCATCTGGCAGGCTGGCTATCATGTAGTGGGATACAGAACCACACAGAGTCTGAGGCCTAGAATGCCACTCCAAAGAGTACTGAGCTGTTGGGTTTGCTTGCCAGATTTTTATATTCTGATCATGCAAGGATGGAAGCACCTGGACAATATTTCTAGCCACTTCACGTATTTTGAAAGCAATTCATTTCACCAATGAAATATATTTCTTACATCTTTTATGCTGATAAGTGGAGTCTGTGGTGCAAGGTTTCCTAACCTTGGGTCCTGGGGATAGAATCCAGGGGGTTCTGGGACCTTGATGGGAAAAAATTATGCCTTTATTTTTTTTTGTTGTTACTGAATGTAGTCAACAAACCACAGTCTTATTAGTAGTACCAGTGACTTTGTCACCAGCACATATCAAACATATTTTCATATCACATTATAGCTATTGCCAATATCTTAAAAGATCATTAAATTCATTACTATTTCAAAATTATGGTGATTATTAGACCTGCTGCTATATCTTGTTATTTGCTGGGATAGTAAAGAAATATATATATATTAATATGTCAAAATTGTATCTTTAATATTTTTTTCCTATTTCTTTTTTATTATTATTAATTTTCATTGGAGTATGGTTGCTTTACAATGTTGTGTTAGCCTCCACTGCACAACAAAATGAATCAGCCATACACGTACGGATATCCCCTCCCTTTTGGACTTCCCTCCCATTTAGGTTACCATAGTGCAGGGCATTAGGTAGAGCTCCCTGTGCTATACAGTACGTTCCCATCAGTTGTCTATTTTATACATAGTATCAGTAATGTATATATGTCAATCCCAGTCTCCCAATTCCTCCCACCCCACCCCACCCTGTATCTTTAATATTTTGATAATTGCATTTCAACACAATTGGTTTTAATTGTAATCTTATGTGTTTTATCTTGTTGTGCATTAAAAAAATGACTCTGAATCGGGTTCACCAGTTGGCCAAAGGGGCCCATGGCACAAAGAAAGTGTAAGAACTCCTGCTTTAGCACAGGTTCAGATAGGGAAATGTGAACATGGGGGTGGGGCGTGTAACTACCTTTGGGGTAAGGACACCTGAGTAGGATCTTTCAAATGCTAACCAACCACTCCTGAGTCTATATTCCTGATTAGGATAATTCAAATGTTAACTAACCACTCCCAGAGTGTGGATTAAAACTAATTTACAATGAGTTGACTAAATTGTTTATCAATATGAATAATCATTGCCTGTTCTTTCTCCACTTCAAAATATATACAAAACCCACCCCACCCTTCTTCCTACCTCCACTGTCCCCACCCTAGACCAATATTTCAAAAGATTATTTTTTAGACAACACACCGTTTCATTAAATAATTGATTCTATGAATCCAAGATGACCATAGGTTGTAAAACCCATCATTCTCTTACGCACCAAGAAAGAAAAATTGCTCTTAATTAAACTATGCTGTACCATTAATGGTAAAATTCATCCCAATTTCAGAGGTGATGAAAAGTGGGAAAATATGCATCTTAGAAAAAACAAGGTATATTACACAGCTGATACTGAAGTGTTTTGAAGTAAATTATAGGCAATATAAAACATTGCACACATACAATATAACATGGCGAGGAGTTTGGATTTTATTTTAAATGTGATAGAAAGCTGTTTTGAGCAGGGAAGAGATGTGATCTGGTTTTCATTTTTTATATGTATACTCTGGTAGTTGTGCAAAGAACAGATCAGGGGAGAGGTGGATGTGACCAGAGAGGCTTGGTCTAGGGTTGGAGCAGTGGAGGTAGGAAGGGTGGATTTAGTAAATACTTTGAAGAGGAAGAAGACCAGTAATGTTCGTTCATATTGATAAACAACGTATACAACTCATTAAGCAAAAAGAAAACATTGCTACAAATCTAAATAATTCTTAACTCTTGTTTTGACATTCATTAAGTCAGTACTACTGAATCTCTTTGACTTTCAGAAGCTCTGCCAATCTTTCATTAGCTGCAGCTAAGTCCCACCTCCAGGTGCCAGTATTTCACCTCATTGTAAAGGAGAAAGCAGCATGAATGACTAGTACAAGGGCGGGAGGGAATGACTGACAACAGCCCCTTGTGTGAGCCTTCCCCAGGGACATTGATATTTTCATATGGGTGCTTTAAAATACAAAGTAACTATGTGTATTAGTTTGTTCATGCTACCTTAACAAAATAGCACAGAGCGCGTGGCTTAAACAACAGAAATTAATTTTCTCACAGTCCTGGAGGCTGGAAGTCCAAGATCAAGGTCACCATCAAGTTGGTTTCTAGTGAGAGCTCTCTTCCTGGCTTGTAGATAGCGATCGTCTCGCTGTGTCCTCACATGGCATTTCCTCTGTGTACATGGAGAGAGGGAAAGAGGGAGAGACAAAGAGAAGGAGAATGGGAGGGAGACAGGGAGACTGGGACACCAGCCTTATCATATTAAGGCCCCTTCCTTATGACCTCAACCTTTATCACCTACTTATATGCCTTATCTCCAATACAGCCTCATTAGGGGTTAGCGCTTCAACATATGAATTTTGGGGACGCACAATATAGTCCATAAGATTACCATTCTTCAAAATATATTAGGGACATAATTTGAAGTACAGAAAAAGCTTATGAATAAAGATGTTCATTGCAGCATTATCTGTAGTGGTCAACAAAAAGGAAATAAGCTAAATGCTCAATAACAGAATAGTCAAATCAATTATAGCATATCTACACAGTGGAACACTACACAACTATTTAAATGAATGTAACAGGAAAATGTGTATGATTTGAAGTTAATGGAGAGAAAAACCAAGATATCAGAATAATCACAACACTGTATAATCTGGCATGTAAAAAGCCTGAAAGGAAATATAGCAAAATATTAAATGTGGCAATTGATAAGTAATGAGTTTCTTTGTGATTTTTTTTGATTTTCTGAATTTTCTACGTTTTTATAATGTGCATCACTGCTTTTATATTTTAATTTTTAAATTTTTTATCAAAGTTATGCATTATCATAGTTTACAGAGTTTAAAAGTTCTACAAGTTTTGTTATGAAAAACAGTGCCCTTTTCCCTTCCCCATAATTTCCCACTCTCCAGAGGCAAGAGTTTTCAACTCTTTTAGCTGATTCTTTTGGTATTTACCTTGGTTCTCTAAATAACATTATTTTATTGCTACTTCTTGAATTTTAAGTTTTTGACATTGTCTATTGGCATTACCTACACTCACCCTGCCCTCCCAATTCACCCAAAGACCCTTTTTATCCCTACATTTTTCCAATATAGGCATATCATAATTTTGGTTAGACCACTATTCAATGTTTACAGGATGGTGACCAAGGAAACTTTATTCACAGCCACGAAGTCACAAATACTTTTCCTTACTTGCACAACGTTTTGTGTTTCCTGGAGCTCATAATTATTTTGTTTTTTCTTTAAATAATTTTCTATGTACTTAGCAAGAATTCAACTTTAAACTCTTGATCAGTTACCTCCAGCTCCTCTCCATGTGTTTTGGTGTATCAGGTATCTTGAAGATATCTCTCCTGAAGTCTTCTGACCTGTATAAGCTAGTTGACCTCTATTCCTTCTTTGTGTGCAGCTGTCATCCTGGAACCTACCTTCACCCTCTTCTGGAGCTTCCCTTTTGCCTCTTTCTTGTGCTGGATCATCTCCCCACTAACCCAAGTCCTTCTGCTTTCTTGGCTTAAAGCGGTTTCAAACAGGGAACTATACTGAATATCCTGTAATAAACCATAATGGAAAAGAATATAAAAAATGTATACATGTGTATAACTGAGTCACTTTACTGTACAGGAGAGATTGGCACAACATTGTAAATCAACTCTACTTCAATAAAAAAATTTTTTTAAAGAAAGAGGTTTAAAGAGATTTCTTTCTTGGTTTCAAGAGGTGTATGAGGGGTAAATTTTTGAGACCTTGCTTATCAGAAATTGTATTTGTTCTATCCTCACACTTGATTGACAGCTTGGCTGGGTACAGAACTCTAGGTTAAAAATAATTATTCTTCAGAATTTTGAAGGCATTTTTGCTCATCTCCTAGTTTCCAATGTTGATATTGAAAAATCCAAAGCCATTGTGATTCCTGATCCATTATATGTGACCTGTTTTTATCTCTGGGAGCTTGTAAAGTCTTCTTTTTAACCCAACGTTGAGAAATTTTATGAAGCTGTGTTTTGGTGTGGGTCCATTTTCATCAGTCAAGGATATTTCAACCTGGAAACTCATGACCTTCAGTTTGGGGGAAATTTCTGGACTATATTAAACATTTTATTCCCTTCATTTTCTCTTCTCTCTAAATAGAATGCCTCCTCTTCTGATATTGGACGTGCTGGACAGGTCCTCTAATTTTCAAATATTCTTTCTCCTATTTCAATCTTTGTCTTTTTGCTCTCCTTTCTGGGAGATTCCTTCAACTTTATCTTCAACTTTCCTATTGAATTTTTCCTACTGTCATATTTTTATTTCCAAAGAGCTCTTTGTTATTCTGATTTTTCCTTGTAAAAAAGTGCAACCCATTCTTACTAATGGTTTCTCTTAACTCTAGGGATACTAACAATAGTTCTTTTTTTAAAAAAATCTTTTATTCTCCCTATGTAGCAGACACCTGGTGTACATTGCTTCACATTCTTTCAGCCCACAGTTTAGCCTAGCCATTGCTGTGGCAACCAGTCTTTTGCAGGAGTAATCTGACAGTGCCTCACTTTAGCTGCACCAAGAATTGCTTCACGCCCTAGAGCTCTTCTGACCTACAAAGTTATGCTTGGGGAAATCAGCTCTGCACTGCAGTCTACATAACCCAGAAGTGCATGGTAGTTGACATCCTTGACCAATGAAGGATGGGAGCCAGTGGATTAATGCTCTCCCTTTTCATAACTCAGGAGGAAAATTCTGAGATAGGTTCAACATAGCTCCTCAGAAGGTACTAGCAAGATAGAACACCAGTTGCCAACAGCAGTGACTACTTGATAATGCATCCTTTCCTTCCTTCCCTTTTTTACTATCCCAGGTCTCTCATTCTTGTTTCCTGGGATTACTTCCCAAAATAAATCACCTGCTGGCAAGCCTTTACCTCAAGCTCTGCTTTGGGGTAGAGGAAAGAGACTGTAAAACTTTACATTATCCACTTTTGCTATGTTTACGTGGGCTACTATCTTTCATATTAGAGATTTTGTTCAGATGTGTACTGACCTTTGGCCATCTGACTATAATTAACAATGGGAAGCTAAAAAGCTAATTGGAAGTTCAAAGACTGTAGTTGGTGACACTACAATTGTGACACTGTAGGATAAGGTAGTTAGGCCATTTCATTGGGGAACACTTGGCATCAATATATTTAGGTCTTTATTCTTAGGCTCTTCTGATTCTCCAGAGAAGAGTCTTCCAGTCTCCTATCTGGAGGATACATAACTGGCCACCAGCTTTCTGGAAACTGAGTGAGGAAGAGGGCTAAAGTATCAGCATTCAGTATGTAAACATTCACTTAATCTCTCTGTTTCTGGTTGGATACCTTTGTCCTCAATTGTATCTAGTATCCTTCCTGTCCAGACATTCTCTGTTTTACATTTTCCAGAAAATAAATCTTCAATCCTTTGTCAGGAAAAAGGACAGTTGCTATATGCATGGAATGAAGGAAGGATTCCAGGGATTTGCTTT